CACCATTCGTTGTAAATATAGAACTCTTCCAGTCATCTTTTTCGTAACGGTAAAGCCCTTTTATTCTTCCCTGAGACAGTAAGGAAGACTAACCTGTGTATCAGAGACCATTCACATCCATCCCTGGACACAGGTGACTTGACCTCTTAAAAGAGGATGAACTTACAAAAACGTCCACCAATAGCCTGAAAAATCTTGCTCTTTTCTACCTCGTGGCATCATATTGGGTATCTATGTTTAGAAGTCTTCCTGACCGAGCTCAAAACAATTGAAAAACAAAACCAATCCCTTGCTATTTGTACCTTCATAGTTCTACAAATGTCTGTTGAATCAAAATATCATGACAACTCATCAGAGAAGCCCTGAAATGTGTCAACCCAATTTTGTTTTTAAATCGAGAGATTCAGTGTAACTGGATCTCACTCGTTAACTAATGCAACAATAAGCTTCCGATGGTAGATTATTTTCAAAATAGTTTTGGCAGTGAAATAAGCATAAAGAACCTAAACTAGCTCCACCGTTAGGTGTGCTGGTCTGGAAAGTTCAAGAGATACAGCCATAAGTATCTTTAGCAGTATAAGTTATTATGCACATAGTTCAACTTTTAATTTTTTCATAACATTAAATGCTTTATGCAAAACAGCTGAATGATATTAAAATATATTTTGCTGAAAATTTACAATTTTCCTGTTCATATAATTTGAGGAGATAATCTGTCATGATTTTACTCTAATTAAATTTTTGTTTTTATGAGTGGGAGTTGTGAGACTTGATTAGGCTATTTTAGTAGCTAAAAAATTAATAATTCCTTCCCTCTTTGTGCTAAAGCATTGTTTTTTTTTTTTTTTTTTAAAGATTTTACTTATTTATTTGACAGAGAGAGACACAGCGAGAGAGGGAACACAAGCAGGGGGAGTGGGAGAGGGAGAAGCAGGCTTCCCGCGGAGCAGGGAGCCTGATGTGGGGCTCGATCCCAGGATCCTGGGATCATGACCTGAGCCGAAGGCAGACGCTTAACGACTGAGCCACCCAGGCGCCCCTGTGCTAAAGCATTGTTAACAGGTAAGTAAAATACAGATTATGGGACAGCAACAACATTCATTGCAGAAAGGAAATTCCTATTCATTGATTAGGCTCAATTATATGCAGGGGATTCCACCTACTCTAATGAGAAATATGTTTTCATAATTTTGCTTACAGCACACTCAACTAAAGATGTAAAATTAGAAATGCAAATCATCCAAAAAGCAAGTGTATAAAAATGAGGTTTCAGTAAGGGCTTCATACAAATTTTATTTCATGGTTTGTAATTTTCATGAAAGGCTCTGCAACACAATTACATTAGGGACTATAATTTTCAACTTAACTCTGGCTTCTAGGTCCTATTAGGTCTACTGCATATTGCATCTAACTCTTGTTTTTATTTCTACCTAAAACTGTATTCTGGGAATGGTAAGAATTGAAAAATTGTAGTGATTTGAGTGAGGAGTTGTAATCTAGATCTATTTTATTATTTTTGAGCACTTAACATATTCTATTATCATTAAGTTATAAGCATTGATGCCACCATCATTATTCTTCAAGATTTTCAATGAGTTCATATAAAATTCTGAATCAGTATCAATAATAGCTTTAACTAAATTGGATAGAATTCAATGCCTAATGGAACCTTCTACTTTCTCCCACCAAAGTTATTGCTAGTTTTCACCCTCTAATCACCTTCATTAAGAGAAACTGGATATGATCAAAACCTCTGGAGTGGAGAAAGCAGAACATGAGGCAAAACGAACCCACAGTGCAAGAGGTTCTATAAACCAGAGATTAAAAGGACTGCTGAGTGCTTGTTTCCAGTCAGCATGCATAGGTAAATCAATTATGGTGTTTTAGGAAGAAATAACAACATCGAAAACTTTGAGGAAAAATCTTCCCATGTTTTTGCTTTTGTTGCCAATGTACAAAATGGTTTTTGCTGTGAGCCACTTAGTTAAATCTGTAACTGAGCTTATCTCTTTTGGACAGTTTATTACCTAAATCAAGAGGCTGCCTAATTTTCCACGCAAAAATTTTATTTAGAACTCTATGACAATGTAACTATTATTTCTTTAACACTTGCTTAATATTGAATGCAACCAATGAATCACTAAATTCTACCTCTGAAACTAATAATACAGTATATGTTAATTACATTGACTTTAAATAAAAAACTTGCTTAATACAGAATGTCACCATCCATCCTTAATGATATAAAAATCAATCTTTTAAAATGCTAATAAGAATAATTTAAAACAAATATTACTTGTAAAAAATCATCTCCCCTAAATTAAAATATTTAACAAATCATTTGGCATTGTGCTGTTTATTGTGAATGCTTGACTTTTGATTGTTATATGTTACAATTTTTTTCAGTGGTTATGCATGCATTTAGCACTTTAGATATTTATTGAGTTACTTCTCTGTGCCAGGCACTGCTCTTGGTGCTTGGGATATGTAAGAGAACAAAGCAAAACCTTCAGCTCCCATGGGACTTTTGTCCTCCTGCAGGGTGATAGAGAATGGGCAAAAATGATACAGTATGTTCAAAGGTGATTAAATATATGGGAAAAGGAGAAAAAGTATAAGCCAGGAACGCCAGCAGTCGGGTGAGTCTGGTGAGTCTGCAATTTTAAATAGGGGGTCAAAACAGGGCACAAGGAAATGGTGACATTTGAGCAAAGGCTTGAAGGAGACAGGGGTGTTAGCCAGGTAGATGTGTTACAGGGGAGTATTGCAGGCAGAGGAGCAGCGAGCACAAATTCCCAAGAAGGGAGAGTATGTGGTGATGTTAGAAGAACAGAAAGGAGGCCCAGGGGCTGGTATGGAGTGAGGCGGTCAGACAGGGGCAGCCGTGTGGTCATACAGGGGATGGAGAACTCACCTGGGTAGGACTGTATGGGCCACTGTAAGAACTGCCGCTCACAATGGGAAATCTGGAGCTTTTGAACGGTTGAGTAGTGAAAAGTTCCTCGTGTTACAATAGTAACCGTAGAGGAAGCGAGAAGCGGTCAGATTATAAATTGGTTTAAAGTCAGAGCCATCAGAATTCCCTGGCACAGTGGATATGAAGAGTGAGAGGGAAAAAAGGTCAAGAATGATTCCGAAGTTTTTGGCCTGAGTAGCTGAGGAAGGGAGCTACTATTCCTGAGGCAGAGGAGGCTGTGGTGGTACAGATCTGTAGGGAAAGATCAGGACTTGGTTGGAAAGATGTGGGGTTTGGGGTGTCTATCCCAGTGGAGAGGGTAGGTGGTCAGATATGCGACTTTAGAGAAATGCCAGGGCTGGGTATATACACTTAGGAGCCACTGGCATATAGATGGGATGAGATCATGCCTGGAAGAAGAGCAGAGAAGACCTGGCACTTTGCAATGTTAGGGGGTAAGAGGAATAGGAGTAACCAGCAAAGCGAAGTGAGAGAGAGTGACTGGAGAGGTAGGAGAGACCCAAGTGTGAGGTGTCATGGAAGCCAGGGGAAAAGGAATATCACAGAAGGGGGTGAGCACTATTCTCAGGCCACAGGAGACGAGGACGGTGCCCGGCCATTAAAATCAAGAACATGGAGGTCAGTGGAAATCATAATATTATGTATGGCATGACACATGTTCTACATCATATATTCCATACGGAAAATAAACTAAAAGGGAATAAAAATAGACTTTGTCTCTAACGGATAGAATAACCTTGAATTGGGCATTAAATAGGTAGAACACTACTCTTATCAATCATGAGATCAGGCATTATTTTTAATATCCTTGAGCCTTTCTGAGAAATGTGTTTCTACCAGATTCCTGCAATTAGATGAGTGGCTAACCATATTTCTTGAAAATCAGGGGTGTCAACTTGAGGAAGGGCAGGGATGGTTATTGTCCAAGCTTTCAATCCTTTAACCCATCTTGTTTATTTAAATAAAGATGAGTAATCTCACCAAAGTTGCAGAGTACAACGTGATTGAGTTCACTATGCAGTAGTTAATTAGAAAATGTTAGTTAAGCTTCCTCAATTCAGTCTTGCACCCAAGAAATGTCTTCACACACACAAGCTAGTTCTAGAGCTCAAGCATAAAACATGCATTTTGATGCAGGTCAGACCCTGTGTTCCGATATTATGGCAGAATAATGATTCACATTTTGAATTCATAGAAGGCTATATAGCAAGAGGCTGAAATTTCCTTTTCCCATTGACAAATGGTATTCAAATAGCTGCTTTGGTCCAATCTGAAATGGAACAGTAGCCTTAAGGGACCTTGTTGTAAAGCTGTCGAACACGGGGGGTCTGTAGGGTTCCTCCATGGGTATATGGAGAGCGGAGGAGGCAGAGAACAAATGCAGTCTGAAATGATGGCAGGACAGAAAGGGATGGAGAACAAGTCCACTACAAGGATTTTTATGCTTTTTTTAAAGGCCAAGTGTACTTCCCTCTCCCTGTTAAAAATGTAATAAAATTTTTCTCTTGGGTCTGGACTTTATATGTCAAGTTTCTGCCTGCAGCTAATTTTGATGACTGAATTGCAAAGCCCTGAAAGCAAGCATTTCGGCTGAAAACGCCGACAGCTCCAGAGCTAGAGGAGTGCTAATGATAAGAACGTGAACATAAGGCTGTGCTCGGTAGCCAATGAATTCGCCTGTCCTAATAGGATGAACATTCTAAAACAAGGACCATAATCAGCTTCATTATATTAGGAAGACAAGGAACAGGAATGTAATGTTACAAGTTCAGCACATTAGGCTTCGACTAGGTGCGTATGTTTAGCAACATTTAGGAAGGCGATGACAGAAGAAATACTTTGAAACACGAATAAATATGGGGCCCTACCTTACTGAAAATTTCATCTGACTTTTGTTCCAATATTTTAGCACTGCCTGTTGATGTAGTTGATTTGAAAGTACTGCAAAATGTTTCATGATTATTATTTCCCTCTCAGATCAGCAGATTCTACTGCAGAATTGCTCACACACAAATCTTCATACCATGGTAGTTTCCTTCAGGATCTAGCGATTTCAGTTTCTGAGGTAATGTAGGATAGTCCCATATGATCGTGACATATTCTGGAATCATGGTGTAAATTTAAATTTATGTCACAGGATTAATATAATTTAATTTACATTAAAATTAATGTTTAAAACTGTGCTACGCATTCATGTAGATCAGTGGTCAGCAATCTAGGGTCAGTGGGCTACCATGGCTTGCTGCTTATTTTGGTAAATAAAATTTTATCGGAGCCACGCCCATTCATTTACATATTACCTAGGTCTGCTTTTGCAACACAAAGACAGACCTGAGTGGTTGTGAAAGACACTGTGTGATGTGGGCTGTACAGCCTCGAATATTTGCTATCTGGTCTGTTACAGAAAATGTTTGTTGACACTTACTGTAGATTATTCTCTTCTCAACCCTTGATGTTAGTACTAGTCTTATCCCAGTTTGTGGAAGAAGAGTAACTGAAGCTTGGGGGAATTAAATAAATGGCCTGAGATTATAAGACAGAAAAGTAACAGACCCAAAATTTGAGTCCAGGACTAGTTCCCAAACTTATGATCCTAACTACAGCATGCAATGTCTCCCAAAAATGTCTGAAGGTCATCATGTTAGCAGAAGTAATGTGAGTGTCACAGTGTAGAGAAAACTTGTGTTCAGAAAAACAGAATCATCGTAGATATACTTAGTAATTATTCATTATAATTTCATTATTTCATTATTCAGCTTCAAGGAAATGCGATGGATATAGACAGACTATTTCTTGGTAAGCAACTTCAACTGCTCATAGAAAAAATTAAGTCCACCTGCCATCAATGCTATGTAAATGGAACTATCTAGCATCAGTTCTACTACATATATGATATATTAGTAGAGCACATATAACTTTTGCAAGGGTTCCCCTCTATGGAATCACTCATCTCTCACAGTATAGAGTATGGAGGTATTTCAGAGCTGGGATCCCTAAAGTTCAGATTACTTTACCGAGTCACCAAGCAGCTGGTGCCACAGTAAACATTTGGACCCAGATCTCTTCCTGCCCAATCACTGTTTTGCATATATAAAAAAGAGTAAGTTATTCAAATGTTAAATTCTATCAATAAATATTACTAAGTCGTTAATAACACAGACCAGCAATTTCAGAAGGTCAAGAATGAGACTGGAACAGAATCAGAGAGAAGGAAGCAGGCAAGGGTTTTAGCAAAAGGCAAAGCAACTGCTGAAAGTCTTGTTATGGTGAAATCAGTGTTCTTTTTTCTTCTCAAAGCCTAACCTCTGTCTTGATAGAGCGGAATTCCCAGAAAATTCTTTCCTTAGCCCTCCGCTGATGACTCCAAACTTAGGCAGCCTCCCTGTGGCTCCACACATCCCCTATGACTTCTTTGTGGAAGTTCATCAACTCAGTGGCCTGGCTCCTGACAGCTTCTCCCAGTGGTCTGAGCCTAGCTGATGATCAATTAACTCTCACTTTTGTTCTGCCTTAGGCTGTGGGCTGTCATGAGTATCCAACAACTGGAATTTTGGCAGTGCCTCAAGCAACCCTCTAAATTCACAGGTCATTGACCCTGGAGAATGTCACTGTCTGTGAGAAGAGGGGGAGCTCAGATGTGAGAAGAGCCAGAGGAAGGTGCAGGGGAACTCTTGGAGATGAAAGAAAGGAAGACTACCTTTCACAGGAAAATAGAGGAAATTAAAACAGAACTCATGCAAGTATCTGGTTTTGAATGGTTGTTGACAAGCAGCTCTCAGCTCTGCCATTCACAGTGACCCTGTTTGTGACCATGATTCATACTGAAATGTTAGTCACATAGTTTTAATAGTAGTTTCCAGTATAAAATTAGCCTTTTTTAAAAGATAGTTTCCAAACAAGACAATAAAGGGTTTTTGTGGTGTCTCTTTAAAAAAAAAACTCTTTCAACAAAAAGAGACATTTGGTGCTCTTTTATGATTCTTTTCAGTGAAGTTTAAAAAAAAAGAATAAGGCACAGAATTTCCCATAAAAAGGGAAATTTAACAGAAAAAAAATGTTGATTGAAAGCTTCAATTCATGCATAAAACTGCTAAATCAACTGATTTTACCAAGAAAGGAAATTTTTTATTCCAGTTAAAGCTTAACCTCTGACATAAAATGGAAACATGAAATATTTAGTTGTTGTCATAAAATGAACATAATGATTCATTCACCTCTCACTATCCACTTGAATTATCTCATTTTATTATTCTTGTTTAGTTTGAGTAGCATATTGCACATAGTTCTTCTAGAGATCATGCTTCATGGCCATTTCAAGGATTTCTTTTCAAATATCTTGATGAAAAAACCCCCAAGACCTTGTGTTACTTTATATGCAAAACACAGGAAAGAACCTATCCTGGGATAAAAGGGAAGCATTAATTATACAGGCTATTTAATTTTCTTTTGCTGAAATGCTACCATAGGAAAAGGTAGCTATATTCTGAAATGAAAGTGTAGAGCGGGGTGCCTGGGTGGCTCAGTCAGTTGGGTGTCCGCCTTTGGCTCAGGTCACGATCCTGGGGTCCTGGGATCGAGCCCTGCATCGGGCTCCCTGCTCAGCGTGGAGCCTGCTTCTCCCTCTCCAGCTCCACCTGCTTGTGCTCTCTCTCTGTCAAATAAATAAAATCTTAAAAAAAAAAAAGTGTAGAGCAAAAAGATATGGCTACAAAGGTATGCAATCGTTCACTTTTCTTTCACATGCACATCTGTTTGCACATGTGATATCCTATCAGGCTTTCCTTTTTAAAGGCATTAGAGGATGAGTTCAGGGAAGGAAGAGAAATAGGGAGAGTACCTGTCTTTCCATCTGCTCTATTATGAAGAGTATGGGTAAAATATTTGTGAGTCGATGGAGTTTTGAAAACTTCCTTGTAGTAATAACTTAATTCTCTAAACTTATTATAGGCATATTGACCATTCCAGCTTTGCAATTGAAAGGAATAAAGTGAACTCTTCGAAGAGGCAAATTACACTACAAAATGAAACTAAGAATGGTGTACTAATTTCATGTGCAAAGACAGGCTCTTAGGCATGAAACTATTAATTTTACATATTTTTTTTAATGCTTATGGCACTTGTCATTTTGGATTCCAAGCTTGGCACGAAGGAATATAACAACACTCATCATTCACAAACAGTGTTAATCTTGCCAGAAAAATACTGCACAAAAATAGTCATTAATGATTTGGGTCTTAGTAGTAACTAAAAGCTATAAGAGAATGAGTTAAATAAAAGAAGCAACTTGGTCATTTCTAAATAAAAATAAACCTACTTCACAATATTTCAAAAAGGAAATTTATTTTCAAATAAACGTCTTCTCACTCTGAACTCCCTCCATGCAGATGATACCATTTCAGAGAATACCCTTCCATGCATCTCTCTATGGTATAGATTCATTACAGAATATTACGAGTTTTTTTTTAATTTTTACAATTTTACTTTTTAAGTTCTCACACAGTGAAACTGACCTGTTTTCTTTTGGTGTACAGTGCTATATGTGTTAACAAATATAGAGATACATGTAACCACCACCACAGTTAGGTTACAGAACAGTTCCCTTACCCCCCCCAATCTCCTTTGTACTATTCTTTTGGAGTGTCATTCTTCCTCTTTTCCTAATTCCAGGCAACCTCTGTTCTGTCCTCATCACTAAAGTTTTAGCTTTTCCAGAATGTCATATAAATGGAATCAAATAGTAGTGACCTTTTGAGACCAGATTCTTTCACTCAGTATTAATGTTTTTTTTTTTTTAATTTTTTAAACGTCTTTTATTTATTTATTTGAGAGAGATAGCAACAGAGATAGGGAGACAGAGCACAAGAGGGGAGGAGAGGGAGATGCAGGCTCCCAGCCAAGCAGGGAGCCCAATGTGGGGCTCGATCCCAGGACCTGGGATTATAACCTGAGCCAAAGGCAGACGCTTAACCGACTGAGCCACCCAGGTGCCCCAGTATAATGTCTTTGACATCCATCCAAGTTATTTTGTATATTAGTAGCTTATTCCTTTTTACTGTTACATAGTATCTATGGTATGGATGTACCACAGTTGATTTATCCGATCACTCGAGGAAGGCCATTTAGGCTGCTGCCAGTTTGGGGCTATTATAAATAATGCTGCTATAAATATTTGTGTACAGGTTTTTGTATGAACACAAGTTTTCACTTTTCTGTGGTAAATACTCCAGAGTGGGATTGCTGGGTCAAATTGTAAGTGTATGTTTAACTGTATAAGAGATACAATATGATATTTTAAATATTAAAGCACTGATAAAATACCAAAGGGCAATCAAAAGTTCTCTTCTGTAACTGACACATCTTAAAGCCATTTCTTAGAAGTGAAATTCTAGAAACTGACAGAGAACAACATAGTTGCCTTTCATTCAGAGAGAAGAGAAAAATATTTCCCCTCATTATTTAGCTAATAAAAAGGATTATGGTTGTAGGTAACACAAAACCATGGATGGTTATTTCAGAGTTTTCCTCATGGTTAGTAACAAAGATGTTTGGAATCTCCTATGTCCTCATTAGCAATGTGAAAAGCCAAAGAATGAACTGGTAAAGAGAGAGTGAATTCAGACAATTGGTCCCATTTTTCTTCATGTCAATGCTCATGTCAATGCCTCAAATTTCTAGTCTTGCATCAATGGCAAAATGAGGTTACAAGTACAACAAAAATAATCCTCTTAAATGCATATAAACACAGTGGGGGAGAACTGAAGGGCAGATAGTTCCTAACACAGAAAGTAAAGGGCAGGAAAAATAAGAAGGACAGCTCCTTGAGTTGTGTCTGGAAGGCAACAGAGGGTGAAAGCTGCTAGAGAGAGGGAGAGAGAGGGAGAGATAATTGTCTGGATTTGCTAGTTCGTTTGAGCTTCAGGCAGTGTAGAGCCCATTATTAGACAGGTCATCCATGAGACACCTTGCTCTATACCTTCTGTGAGCTAGCACTCAGTCCCATATCTTCCTGTGGATATTATTCCCCAAGAAAGATGTCCATGCCTACTACTGGGCTTGGCCAATGATGGTAATTCTGACAGAGAAACTGTAATGAAATGGTTAAGTATTACTG